AAAAGAAAGAAAATTAAAACATAATGAATTGATTTATTTTTCCTTTTTTATTCATTTGGTTCAAATATTATAACACTACTTTCAGTTCCATTAAAACAATGTTCACAGGAATATATTAATAATGCACCAAATTCTGGAATATCTTTTATTAATGAAATTATTGAAGGAAGTATTTCAAATTCATATAATAATTCATTCCCACATATCGAACATTTATGAACTTCTTCTTGTTTTTTTTTATTGGACTCATTAATAAATAATGGCTCTCCACCATATCTTACAATTTGTTTAGGATTTTCATTCATTGATGTTATAAATTTTTCCCATTGAGGATCTGACACAGTTTCAAATTCGTCTTCAGAATTCTCTTCTTCAATATTCTTAAATAATTTAATTTTTTCTAATTCACTGTCATTAAATTCTTTGAGTGTTTTGTATTCTTCATACCATTCAATCCATTTCCCACAACAGCCCTCTACCTTTTTCTTTTTTACTTCTTTTTTTGGTTGTGAAGTAATAATAGATGCAAATGTAGAATCGTCTATTTCAATCAAACTAAATCCTTCATCTTGTTTCTTTTCTTCTGTTTTCATTATTTGTTGTTTTGGTTGGATTGTTGAAAATGCTCTAAAACAAAGGTGGTGTGGGCAATAAAAAATTGATACATGGCGTGTTTGGTCTTCATCTATTGGACAATGAAGATATAACATTGACTTCATCTCTTGACCACATTCACAGCATTTTGGATATTCGATATTTAAACACTTACCATTATAACTTGACAACTCAAAATTTTCTTCATCAGTCTTTGAGACCCCACGGTTAGTGTAATAGCCAACACTACAAACAAATTTATTATTTGGCTCCATAAAAACAGAGATAATAATACACTCAAAAACCCTTTTTCAGTTTCTTTTTTTTTTTCTTTTTTTCATTAAAATTGTCTTTTATTTTGTTAGTTTTTCTATCTTAATTCTTTTTAGATAATATTGTCATGTCACTTACCTCTCGACATGAAAAGTGGAAACGTTGTTTTGGAAACAATTCATTCATTGCTACAATAAACTCAGTTGAAAATGTAGATGAATTATTTGATTTTGTTACTCATTCAAAACCTGACTTACAACAACTAATTGTGTCTATGATACAAGCTGACCACATCCCTGGTTTATCAGGGATTACCATGTTAACGTTTATAGATTTTAGTTTTAATACAATTAAAGATGTTAGTCCTCTTCTTGAATGTCCTTTATTACAAACACTTGTTCTTTCACATAACAATATTGAAAATATTATTTCCTTAACATCTTTAAATGCTCTCAACGCTCTTGATATTAGTTTTAATTCAATAACAGAAATAACAACACCACCTCACTTAGGCTCTTTAAAAGCATCTAACAACCCACTAGTACATTTGAATATTAATAGTTCATTACGTCTATTAACTATTGATGATTGCCCTTTAAAGAAGCTTAAATTAAGTCTTAATTCGTTAGATATAATAAGTGTTTCTAGATGTTCATTCGATTCTTTTAAATTAAAATGTGAAAATCTGAAAAGTATAGTTGCAGACTCCACACAGTTTAATAACCAGGTTATTGTTCAATTACCTCAATTATTTAATTTAAGTATGAACCAATCAGCCTTGGATTCTATTGTTAAAATGTTATCACAAATTACTACATTAACATCAATCACATTAGGACGTTGTAAATTAAAAGAAATACCACAAGAAATTTATACTCAAACTAATCTTGCTCGTCTTGTTCTTTTTAATAACCCAATCACTAAAATTTCAGAAGAAATTACTTCATTAATTCATTTAACATATATCGATATGTTAGATTGTTTAGTAGAGGATTGTCCTTCATTAACTAACCTAAACCAATTAGAACAATTTATGGCTTCTTATGATGAAGTTATTACAACATCAAAATACTATGAATCAAAGTTACCAAAACAATGCCAATTCATTGGAAGGGATTATGGTAAGTTTGATAAAATTATTGATAGTTTATTTCTTGGAAGTTATGCAAATGCACACAATAAAAGTTATCTTCAAGAAATGAAAATTACTCATATATTAACTATTGGACCATTACAACCAATATTTCCAGAGTTATTTGTTTATAAACAAATTAATATTGATGATAGTGTAAAAGAAGATATTAGTGTTTATTTTGAAGAGTGTTATCAATTTATTGACCAAGCAAGAAATAGTAGTGGTGCGGTATTAGTTCATTGTGCAGCTGGAATTTCAAGAAGTGCAAGTATTGTTATTGCTTATTTAATGAAAAAAAATAAGTGGACGTATGAACAAAGTTATAGTTATACTTTAAAATGTAGACCAATCATTTGTCCTAATAGTTCTTTTGTTGAACAATTAAAAGGATATGAAGAAAAAGTACTAATAAAAAAATGTAGTATAGTGTAAGTTTTATTATTATTTTTAAGCTCACAAGGACAATTTAAGTAAAATTAAATAAAAGAAGTCATATTAAATTAAATCGATTTTCATGTCTTTAGAAAAATCAGTTCTACATTTGAAAAGATCATTTGGATCAACATATTTAAAACCACCATCCCCTAAAATAGCATTTGCAATAAGAACAACTTGGTCCTTAGGAGTACAAAATATTTTAAATAATAATGAAAGATTTTCAAACATTGGACGTACAACAGCAGGAAATTTTAATGCTCTAATAGTATCACAAATAGCACTAACATCATACATAAATACAAATCCACCACTAATTGGAGTAATTTTTAATTTTTTAATTGTTCTGATAAATAAATCATGAAATCCATGAGCAATTCTAATTAAGAAATTCTTTTTATTTAATCCAGTTAACTTGCTATTAACTATTTTAATAGAGTTATTTAAATATTTGCAAATTTCAATTCCAATTGAAGTTGCTCTTGGATTTAATACCCAAGTTTCATCTTTTTCATCTTTAAATTTAAATTCATTTTTATAATTCATTAATTTTTCTATACAATTTAATAACCAATTACAAAGATTTTCTACTGAAGTGGATAGTGTTGATTGAATTGACTGAATTTTATTTTTAAATTGTTTATTATATTCATTTAATTTTTGAACAGAATATTTAAAACAAGGCGTTAGATTTTTTTCAAACATCATTTGGATTAATGAAATAGATTTACAAATATTATCTAATAAAGTTAAATAACTTGATAAAAATGGAATACTTTTATCTGGATGATTTGCTTGTTTTTGAGTTAAATAAACCATTCTTTCACAACAATCTAATAAAACATAATCTAGCCATTGTGTTAATGATGAAAATAATTTACTGATAACATAGTCAAATGAATCTGGTAAGGTTAGTGATTGTGCTCTAATTAATGCAAACGATAATTGATCACATACATTTTTAATTGTTGTAGGTTCTATAACTTTACTAAATCCATCAATATCAAGTTTAGAAACATTATCAATTTTAATAGACTTTTTATAAGTATTATAAGAATCTTGATTTTGTTTAAAAACAGATGCAATGTAACTGATTTCTGTTTCTGAATAGTTTGATGTTTTATCTTCTTCAAAAACTCGTTCAACAAGATCACTAAGAAATGCACCATTAATACCAAATGAAGTTAAACTTTTTACAAATGAATTAGTAATTTGATCATAAGCATCATAACATTTAAATAAATACTTCCAAAAGAAATCAGGGTCTTCGTCATATCCTTTATAAACATAAACACTATAAAAATTGGATATTCTAAATTTGAATATCTTTTGAACATATTTAGCAACAACAATATCTTTTTGAACAAATATTTTTTCTATTTCTCTTTTTTCTTTTTGAATTTGATTTAATATTTTTTTTAAGAATGCTTGAAGACATTGATTATTAATTTTACATACCTTATTATCTATTTCCTGATCTGTTTCTGCTAACTGTTCATCTTGTCTAATATCTATTTCATCATATAAAAATGCATTACCTTTAAGATACTCTTTAACACACTTATCTCCTCCATTTAAATAATACAATAACTCTGCATAATCTTTCATATCATTAATATTTTTTTCTGTCATAGCAGTTGAAAATTTTTTCATATATTCATTTTCTATATATGAATAAAACTTTTCTGTATTAGCTGTTCCAAGTGTTGTTTGTGGATTTTGAAGCTCTTTACACAATGTTTTTAATTTTTTTATTCGAGTAACAAAGTCAATATCCGGATATTCTTCTGTATATTTCCTTGGATCAAAGTTATTATCTTTATTGAATTTTGTAAACATATCAATAATCATTGATGCTTGTTTTCCCCTATTTGCTTCAACTGTTAAATCTTGAAGTCGTTCTCCTGCTTGCATAATATCTGTAGATAATTCAGAAACTCCATTTTCTGTTTGTTTAAATTCTTCTAATGCTTTATTAAATTTCTCTCGTGCATTAGTTACTGTTGATATATGTGTTTCTTCTTCATGAACACACTGCTCTTGTAACTGTTCTACTGATCTTTTATATGCAATGAATTGATTGTCAATTCGTGACTTAATAACATTTAAACACTGTAAGATTGGATCAATATCAAAAGCTTCAATCCCTTTTTCTATTGAATAGTCACATTGTTCAGATAATAATGAGTCAATATAGATTTCTGGTTCAAACGTTGACTGAAGAAATACATTTGTATCTTGTAATCGTTGTTCAATACTTTTAAGGTTCACTGGTTCTTTGTTATCCTTCGACATTTAATTTTTTTAAAGTTCTTTATTAACTTTTGAGTTCATTTTATATTTTTCTATTTTAAGTACTATAAAAACGAAATCTTCTCAAAAAAATAAAACAACTTCCTTGACTCTTTCTTGTATTCTTTTGTTACTTAGTTTAGTTTTGTAGTCACTTATCATCTTTTTGACGTCTATGCCTTATTAACAAAAAACAAAAAACTGAATTAGCTTTCTCCACTTCTTTCAGTTAGTGTTAGGAGCTGGTGTATCAATTTTTTCAACACTGGACTCTTTAGCCTCTTTTCTTTTAATCAACCACTCTCTGAGAGTTACTACTACTGCAAAGATACTTGCAAGCCCAATTAGAACAATAAACAAGCACCCAAAAATTAACAAGGTTGCTAATACATAATGGGCTCCTTGATAGTTGTCAGTCCAGTCTTCAGCAAAGACTCCAAAAGCAAACAACATGATTACAATCATATTCATCTTTTCTCTTTTGAATTTCTATCTTTATTTTGAGTGCCTTTTTATACTACTGTCTTTTCGATATTATTAATTCTCGTATCATCTTAAAAGTAAACTATATTTTATTAATTTAAAAACCATACTTTATTGAATAAATATCTTGAAATTTGAATTAAAAAAGATATGACATAAATTTAAAATATCAAAAAAATCATAACAGATCAGTTCCGTTAGTTTGAGGTTCATTAAAGTCAAACTTTCCAATCTCCTTAATACAATCGTTCACAATAGATTCATAAGAATGAGGGATATGGTCAAGATACATTGACATCTTTGGTAATATTCTCCCAAATGCTTCGTTTGGTACTTCAAACCATTGAGGGAGGTCTTCACTTGGTTTAGTTAAGTCTTCTAATTCAATTCCATCTGGAGAAATTGGCTTAGACACTGACTTTCCTGGAATCATTTGAATCACTCTACCAGAAGGAATAAAAGGGGGATGAGTTGTATTGATTAAGTTTATTGCTTGAATTAATTCATCTTTTTTATTTCCAATAATTTTTATTGCAGTTGTCATTGGATTCTCGACTTGTTTAACAGAATCAACAAGCAATTCTTTAGCATGTATTCCAATAATATCTTTAACACATTTGATCATTCCTTTAAAATACTCAAAACTACCTAAACTTAGTCTTGGGACAATATCATTATTATTAATTAAACTAATTACCATATTTTTCATATGTTTACAACATGCAATTTCTTTAGAAAATGCAGCTGCTGGTGCAAAAGCAAAACACTTTATATCCCAATCTGGATACGTCTCCAACAACAACGCAGATAATACAATACCAACACCACCCCCTAAAGAATGTCCTGTAATAATTATTTGATAATCTGGATATAGGTTATGAAGCATCTCCATTTTAGATGCAAGTGAAACAAACCTTCTCTTACCAGCATGGAATATACCAGAATGACATAACCCTTCAATTCCAAATACATTTACTT